CGTTCTTTCTGCTGGTTTTGAGAGCGCTTGTTGGCAGGTCCATTTGGTTCCACGTGTTCGGGGGATGATGTGCTGGGCTCACTCAGCCTTGCAAGTCTGTTGGACCGGTTTGTTTGAAGCTCTGGCAGCCCAGCAGATGACCTGCGTGTTTTTCGGTCTTCATGTTGAGCACGCTTGAGACTGAGAAATGCACAGATGTGCACAACGAAGACATGTCTCGCATCCTCTGGACACCCTTGCACGTCGAAGTGCACTTTCTGGATGTAAGCTTCGGGGGAAAACACGCTTTGTCTCAGATCTGACATATTGGAACTGCAAACAAGCTTTGCTCCTGAGCAAAGCTTTCATTCACATACGCATATAGCCCCACAAAGCCCTGGACAAAAAGCAGAGGGGCACGGGCAGCCGGGGGGTCTGACAAGGAGAGCGAGAGAGGGGGAGAGAGAGAGAGAGAGAGCAACTCTTGCCTGTAGCCCTGGCGAAAGAAAGAGAGAGAGAGAGAGAGCGAGCCTCATCTCACGTAGCAGCCAGACCAAACGAGACTACCAGGGAGCGCTCGCGCGCGGGAGGGGGCATCTGCTGTCTCCTTGACTGTGTGGAAGAAGAGCGAGCTGTCACGTAGTGGTAGAGAGAGAGAGAGCCCCATAGACCACAAGCAAGCAAGCAAGCAAGCAAGCAAGAGAGGGAGAATGAGAAGGGTGGGATCTGTCGGGATTGCGCAAATGACAGCATGGAGGCTCCCTGATATCCATAACACTTCAGACAGAGCTCTACGTCAACCAGCGAGGCTGCCCGGACGGTTTTGCAAGAGCTGCCCGAGCAAGAGTGTGAAATTCCTCACGCCCATGGCCTGGCTATTTCTCGGAGTGGTAGTATGGCGGTGATGACACGATGAGAGGCCGCAACAACCAGCTCTGGCCAGGATGAGGATGACGCAGATGATGCCAGGGCTGAACAAGAGCGAAGGTTCGAACATGACATACAAGTACGAAAGCTCTTATGCAAAGAGATCAGGACAGATGCTAGCAGTTCACTTTGATGATCAATCTAACAGTTGTTCGATCGGTTCTGCCGATCGCCTTGTAACCGGATGCCGAAACAAATGAAATAGGTTCGTAAGAATAGCAAAAAGTCTTCGTTTGCGGTATGGCGACTGCTTGCCAGTGCTACCACCACGACCAATGCTGCACAGCTCCCGCGACCAGGTCATCCTTAATCCTTGATGGGAAGGAGAGTGGGGATGATGATGCATGTGCGTGTGTAAAGACAGCAAATGTTTAATTTGCATATCATCAAGCCAGCTGGGACTCATGTAATCGAAAAGCAGCCGTTCGTATGGCATGAGCATACAGGTGCGTACGTACACATGTGCATACATGCATGTGCATGTGTGTATGTATATGTGCATGTGTAAGTGTGTGTATATATATATATTATACACATATGCATATGCGTATACATATGCATATATAGGTACATACATACATCTACATATACAGATACAATTGCACATACACATACATATCGTATACATACACATATACATATACAGATGCATTTACAAACAAACAAGCAAGCAGCAATCAGACAAACACACATACATACATGCACAATTAACACATACATGAGCATGAATCGAAATGCCAATGTATGCAGATGTATGTATGTATGTATGCATGCATGCATGTATGTAGTATGTATGTCTGTATGTATGTATGTATGTAGGTAGGTAGGTAGGTAGGTAGGTAGATATGTATGTACTGCAATGTACTGTAATTTACTGTAATGTAATGTAATTATTGTACTGTATCGTAAATGTAACTGTAATGTAATGTAGTGCAATGTACCGTAAGGTAATGTAATGTACTGTACTGTAATGTAATATAATGTAATGCAATGTATGATATGTACGAATGTACGAATGAATGAATGAATGAATGAATGAATAAATGTATGTATGTATGTATGTATGTATGTATGTATGTGTGTATGTGTGTATGTATGTATGTATGTATGTATGTATGTATGTGCATGTAGTATGTGCATGTATGTGCATGTGTATGTATGTGTGTATATTTATATATGTATAAATCTCGATAGTTAGATGTAGATGTAGAGACACGGTGTCTATGTATGCATAGCATATTATAAGGTACAGCCCACATCCAAGCAGCGTAGCAGGGAAGTTCCTCGAGTCCGTGCCAGTCTTCGGCCTCATGAAACAAGCATTTCCCGACTGTCACTTGGTGATTGGTCAGGGTTTAGGGTTCAGGGTATAGGGGTTGCGCAGTCATGAGTGCTGGTTGACGGCGACGGCAGTTTCGGGCGAGAGAAGCCTGCTGCAAAAGGGGCCTGGGGTAGCGTGCATGGTTATGTTGTCGGGTTCTCTGGGCTTTCGGTCAGTGGCAATGCTGTTCTTTTGATAGACCTTAGACATTGTAGAAGGGGTGCGTGTCCGTTGTGGCTCTTTGCTCTCCGGCATGTAAGCCGTACTTATGCCCTGAACCCGAAACCCTCGGTGTTGTATGTCCAGGCCCATTGCACTCAGATTTCTTGGTTGGGGAAGCGCACAGGGACGGGGCTCTAAAAAGGTAGCCGAAGATTCTCCAAACACATCGCTTTTGCTACTGCCGACATCTTTTGGTCCCAGAACAGAATCGGCCCTCGTACAGCTAGCTTTGTTGGCCATGATTTCGCTGAGGCTTTGCAAGCATTTGTGCGGCGCTGGTGAAGAATGTTTTCGAGAAGAAGGATCGGATGGAAACCGTGCGCTCGAGGAATTAGCAAGCACATACCAAGTGCACACTAAACCCTACTGTGCAGCTTGAAACTCATGCATGGCGCGGTTTCTACTCCTGCCCTGATCTTGGGGGACTGAGCTATCAAAGCAGACACCTTCCACTCTGCAGAACCCTTGGGTGTCTAGGTTTCATGAAGTCTGGTATGGTTCCTCTGGTCCAAGTCCCTAAGCAGTACTTTTGCGACAATCGTCACACATCATCTCGCTTGAGCCCTCGAACCTACTAGAGTGACTACCCTTTAAACTGTAAACCTTAAGCTCCAGACGCAACATCAGGAGTGTGTTTTCACGGCGGGAGCTGTGGCAAACTCAATGTACCTCACGGCCACCGGCACTTACATCCACACCGATGCTGGGCTGACAGACCCCTTCAAATCCTTGCAGATGCAATGGTTGAGGGGCCTAGGATGCTCGAAGTTACCGAAGCTTGCTTTTCGAGTTGGCCATGTCGGGTTGAAGGCTCCTAGAGCCAGAGCCTTGCTCAGTTCATCTCACGTGTTGTGCTCTCTTTGCCGCCATGGGGAACACGCAGGCTGTTATTGGTAGGTCTCGTGGCATAAAGAGGCAGCTGCCTCAAGAGACCCAGGGCCACAAAATATCCGGTCTGCACGTCGGCCCCCAAGCCCTGACACTCAAATCCCTAAACCTTCAAGCCCGAACCAGAAAGGAGCTTGGAATCCGCAAACCTCTTGACTCAATCAAAACCCAATTTAGAAGCCTGAATGCTTACCGATGTAATTCCTTACACTTCCTGTTCAAAGTATAATCTATACCAAAAGCCCTATTTTCGCCATTTAAGACACTTATACACATACTAAGCCCTACATGCGCTTGAAGAGCTGAGGACAGCAACGGCGTGGAGGAGACCTTCACCGGGGAGCACTGGTTCGAAGAAATGAGCGGCCTGTCTTTCTAGGGTTTATCAGGGTTTAGGGTTTGGGTTTGAGGGTTCAGGGTTTACGGGTTGATCCATAGTCTCCATTGTAGTTCCTTCTTTGAGGTTTACCTTTTGGGATCCTTGATATAAATTTTTGGTTAAGCCATGACAGAAACTACAATGGAGACTATATAGGTATATCGTGGCTTAGAGTTTTTGAGGGTTGGGATTTTGGGTTTGACTTTGGCATGGAGGGTTTAGGGGTATAGGTTTTGGTTTAACAAATTGGGGGAAGAAGTGTCCTTAAATGGGGTGTTAAGCTCGACTTCGTGCGTTTGCGTAATGACTGTCTCTCTTAATATGACCTGATCGATGCTCCAAACGTCTCGAATAGGAGGCTGCTGGTTCTGAATTGGGGTTCTCGTGGTGCAATGACCAAGACAAAGTGCTTGAACACCCGGAGGCCTAAAGCCACAAAACAATGATTCATGTGTTCAGCCTCATTCGGCACTCTGCTTCAAGACCACGTCTCTTCAGACGTGCCAGCCTCAGCCCGTGGCTCACAACAAGGTTCCAGTGTATGGCCAAGGAGTGTAAGGTCAACGAGAGGCGTGTGTATCTCTCTAGAGTAACCCACAATGTAAAGAACTCACCCCTAAACTCTAGACTTATACATGTTCATTTTTGTGCAGGCAACTCGCTTCTGCGCGTAGCTGTAAATCTGTTCCAGTAATTTCCAGTATTTCAGAGGGGGCTTCAGGATGTGCCCTTTCACAGCGGCGAAAAAGAACACAAAGATGCTGACTTCCTCTAAGCCTAAGTTCGTTGAAGCGAGAAGAAACACGTATCCAGAAAGAGAGAGGGAGAGAGAGTAATCAAGCAATGGCTAATCCTACACCGACACCGACCAGTGTAGGACACAAGGTGCTGGGTAGACCACTGCCGAAACGAAAAGGTACATGTACATTGTACATACATACATACATACATACATACATATATATGTGTATATATATATACACACGTATTTTTGCAATGTCTATATATATATATATTATACATATATATATGTATGTATGTATACATAGATATGCATGTATGTATGTATGTATGTATGTATGTGTGTGTGTAAGTACTGTAATGTAATGTAATGTAATGTCTAAATATGTGTATATGTTTGTTTATATCTGTATGTATCTGTATGGAGGTATGTCATACAGACTTGCCTTGAGGCCGCAGAGGTGGGTAGAGTCCTAGCAGGAAGCCTAACTACTAAGACTCCGCCCCGAACATTGCCAGACTGGAGGCCTCTACGCTGAAAGCATGGTTCACCATTCCACCTTGACATCGAAGACCTTCGGGGAAATATTCACCCTGGACGGGAAGGACTTGCAACTCTAGAAAATAAGAAGCAAGTGATCCGTAAGGTTATACAGGCCAGTTGGTATTCTCACCAGGGGATTTGGGGCTTTCGTCAGCCAAAGGCTCTGATTCCTGAAGAGCACGAACTCCCATTATGAGCGCATGAGTTCCAAACCCGTTTAGTGAATACTTCAGCCTTAGTCTGGAAGTAGTGTCCAGCATGTGATCTAAGTTAAGGAGTTGTATCTTCGAGCTGTTTCGCAGTTGCTGTCCACCGGGGTCCGTAGAGATTCTGCGACCTTAGCACCCGTCAGTCAAGTTTTTATGCATACACAACATGGGATGGGCAGTGCATGACAGAAGGCAGTGTCAGGCTCGGGAGGATGATCTCCGGAGCTCTGCTGACACCGAAATTGCGTGATGCCGACAGGTTCTCCAACCAAAGCTGAGAGGTTAAGCTGCCTTCACCGAACTCCACGAGCTACGAACCTCCCAGAGCTTGGCGCTGAAGTGTTGGGTTTCTGTTTTGGCGGCCGCTTCCCTTCAGGACCTAGTGGACTGCTTGCAGAACTCCCCTGCCTCAGCATCCATGCTCCCTGGTGAACTTTGAGCCCAAGAAAGGGCTTCGGATTGGGCCTTCGGTTTGAGCCTCTGCCAGTTTTTAGGGTTTAGGGCTTGGAGGAAGCTCGCTCAATAAAGGTTTCTAATTTCGAGTCCACCTGTCTGCGACTGTTGCTGACGAGTCTGCAGTATGCAACACATATCATATCGTTGAGGAAGTTTAGGGTTCCGGGTTAAAATGTCCTAAACCTTACACTGAGCATTGGGCAACAGGCTGCTTATCACTATCAGGAAGGCAGGTGTTAATAAATGCTGGTGCCGAAATTCCAGCCCGGCTTTTCGGCAAGCCGTGGGAAGCTGGAAGGGAGCGCACGGAGCAATTCACGATGGCCGAGGTTCTGCGGCTATGCGAAAGCCTTTGTCGACCCCTTTGCTGCATTTCAAGGGAGCTTGTTTCAGGTCTTTTACCTTCCAGGGGGCGGCTTATTGTTCCAGTTGCGCACGCCGGGATCCGAAGCCCAGACCCTTCAGTGAGGAGATGATGCAAAAGCCAACTGGGCTCACAGTCCACGGCCAGCAGTCGCCCCGCTGCAACTTCGCCGGCGTCGGTTTAGGGTTTGTGTGTCCGCGGACCACTGAGAAATCGTGAAGCCTCGGAAGTGCTTTGGCTTCTCCAGGCCAATGAGACAGGATGAGTTTCAGCTCAAAGCCTAAAGTCGCTTCCAGCGCCTCTTTTCTGCTCGCTTGCAGGCTGGTGGCGGCAGATTCCTGCTGCCGGCATACGCGGCAGTACCAGGACCGCGAAGCCGCCACGCATACTTCTCTTCGCAATGAAGATAAGAATTGCATGCCAAGACACCTTCCAAGCTATTCATCTATGCCAACATGTGGTGTCGTTAGCTTTGTAACGCGGTCGTCGACAGCATTTTGAAAGCCCAAACTGCTGCAGCACTGGAAGCTTACCTGTTACCTCGAATCCTCTGCAGCACTGGAAGCTTACCTGTTACCTCGAATCCTCCCACGCTTGGACTCAGTGGCCCGTCTTTGTTCCACCTGTTTGTATTTTCACCCTGCCCCGCGGTGCTGGCGGCGGTGTGGTGGTGGCGGCGTGACAAGAGTGACTGTCGATAGTGGTGTCTGCTGCTGTGCAGCATCTACGACCCATACCAAAGCACTTGAGAGAGGCATGGGTACCAAGCATTTATTCCGAGGAGCTGTACCCTGATCCGAAGACTCGCTTGGCCAACATTTCCATCGTGCACGATGCCTTGGGGCCGGACATCCAGGCCACAGCCGAATGAATTCGTGAAGACATGATGTGTTGCTGCAGAGACCCTGCACCCGATCGCCGAGGGTTCGAATCAGCTGCCTCTTTATTTATTTGGTTGCAGTTCATCACTCTGGTCGTAACTGCGATGGTTGCCGCTCTGCCTTGCCTAGTCTGATGGTTTGCAGCGTCTCATCGTAGCTTGCCAGCAACTACAGCGGCCAAGTCTAGATCATTTGCAACAGCCAGCACTGTGTTGTCTTGATGAAGTCATGCTGCCAAACAGGCCTGTGCAACTTAATCACGTGATATATGAGGTTCTGGTCTCTGGGTTCATGCACCGAGAAAACCTCCTTTCCTCGCCTTGCCCAGACAATGTCGGAAAGCACATGCAGCTTCCGTTCTGGGGGGCGCCTTGGCCCATTCAAGGGGTGTGGTGTGTGAGACACGTCCCACAACAACAACCGCCCATGTTGCAACCAGGGCTCAAGCACAGTAGTTGGTCGACTTTGATGCGAGCCAGACACAGTGCCGTTCCAAACTCGACCTGCTACGGGGACGCCCGATCAAGATATTTCTGATAGGAGGTATATGACGCCATCTACTCGAGGCATTGACTTCTAAGCCATAATGCTTTGCATGTTTTTCACGGAATGACTTCAGGAATATGGTTTATGATGGCATATGCATTTTGCGCAGGCTGCAATGGTGGTTGGGTTACTATGTCAGCACATGTATGCATGACGTTTTGTGCAATAAGCTTAGCATTGCTATCAACAGCCTTTTTTCTGTGGTACAGGTATTGCGAGATTTTTTTGTTTGAGTAAACATGTGTACAAGATACCACATTTATACTCGTATGTACTCCCTGCTCAAAAAAATCTCATATGTACACTGACTTACTGTGCGCACAAGTGTGCATGTATATAAATCATCCAGTGAATCATACATAACCATCTTCCACCGCAGAGTCATCAGGTACGAGGATAACACGCGTTCCCGAAGGTGTGACCGAGCACTGAGTCTGCGCGAACCGCGCAACAGCTCCCTGTTCCAGTAGATGAACAAAGAACAAATACCCCAACAATCACTCAGCAAGTGAAGCTCACACCAGAAAATGATTCCAAGCCTGACGCCCGACAAACTTAAGCCACAAGATGCGAACTGCAGCCAAGAAGGTTGGCCCACATGCTCAAGGATCTGGACCGCGGCGGCTTGCAACCTGCGCCTCGGATCTACCGTAACATGCAGTCATGCTTGCAATGCATTTGACAAGAGCAGCCGATGCAGGAGGGTGGGAGTAAACATTGTGGTAAACTAATAAGATATGGAAGGATGGTAGCGGCACTTCCGACTATTTTTCAGTATTCGAGTGACAACTGTCAGTCCACTGGCTACGTGATGCGGTTTGAAGTCATACCTGATTCATTCGAGATGTATGCTGTTCAAGTCATCTTGTTTCAGTGGTACTTTCTCTTGTTTGTCATGACATGAACCAAGTCTGCTGCTTCAACAAGGATGGTAATGGTCGCAAGCAATACAAAGCAAGCTATAATCTATATTCGGTCTCAGCCGTGGAAAGCCGTGTCTAGATGGAGAGTCTTCGTCGTCCAGAGGTCATGATCGGGTGACTAGAATTCTAGAATTCTTACTACCACGCAAGGTCCTAAGAGAAAGTTGGGTTTCTACAGGCGGTAGGTGATGCCTGGTGCACCTTTAAAGAAGACACTGAGGGCGTCCTACGCGTACTCCAAGCAAGCATGCACTGAGTTTGCTCATCAGATGCGGCCACGCAGGCAACTTGCGGACCTTTAATTCAGCGTAGCCTTAGAGCCTTCCAGCTGTACTGTGCGCATAGCAGTCTCCAGAAACATAGGAGCCCACGCCCTTGACTTCACAACAAGAGCCCGTGTCACCTGGCTAGGAAAACATCATCATGCTGCTGCAGAGACTCGGCGTGTGACATCCGTTGCTGCCTCGCCTCGTAGATGCTTTACGATTTGATGCTCGTAAAAATCGTTCTGTGCTTTCCATAAGCACTGGATGATTCTGGCACTGCTACAGCAGCAACGTACTGCGTCATCATATTTGTTACGGTCTTATAGGGTTGTGGTCTCGGTGCGCGTTCTGATGATGATACCAATGACGACTTCGACGATCACTCCGACGGCTAATGCTGTTACAGTTATACGACGACTACTACCGCTCCTGCTACTGTACTACTGCTGCTGCTACTGCTACTTCCTCCTCTTCCTCCTGTTACTACTACGACTACTCCTGCTCCTGCGGCTGCTGCTGCTGCTGCTGCTGCTGCTGGCTGCTGGCTGCGGCTGCTGCTGCTGCTGCTGCTGCTGCTGCTGCTGCTCCTGCTACTACTACTGCTACTACTACTCCTACTACTACTACTACTACTACTTTACTACTACGACGACGACTACTACTACTCCTACTACTCCTGCTGCTGCAGCTGCTGCTCGGGCTGTCACTGCTACTGTCTATTACTACGACGACACGAGGAGGAGGACTAGCACTAGGACTAGGACTACCTGCTCCTCGTTCCTCCTGCTGCCACTGCTGCCCCGGCTACTTCGTCCGCTGCTGCTACTGCCATCACCTTCGCTGCTACGTCGCCGACTACTACTGCTGTTCCGTTATTTTGCAGTAGCAGCAAAAACTAGTGCTACTGCGACTTGTACTACCACGACTACCACTATTGCTCCCGATATTTACGTCATTTTGCCTAAGCTTCGTCGTGCCTCAAGGAACGCCATTCCCGAACTTCATCCAGACGTTGGGACGCATGCTCTCCTGGAGCCACGATTTCCGTTGTAGCCATTGTAGTCGGCAGAGCTATGCAGGATTCAGCTATGTTGATTTCGGGAGGTTAGGCTGAAACTTTCACGAATTGCTGCTGGCACTGTTTGGCCTAGGCTCATCAGGTATTCTCCCTTCTGACATCTAAACTGCATAGATACTGCCAAAAGTTCTGATCGATGCTCTTGCACCTAGCCTCACAGACCACCGACGGCACTTGTTTTTCCCATAAACACCATGTCCCCTTTGCCAGAGAGGAGTCCGATACTTGAACTCCCAGCTATATCTGAGGCCCTATACGCTTCAGGATTTATACAGATGGAGGTATCGGGCGTAGACGGTGCACGAGCACGACATAGGGTTAAATAACGCAATAACTTCGGGCTTGCACGGATTTGGGGTTTGGCGTTTCTCAGGTTTGGGACCTACGACGGACCGCCCCCAAACCCTATATTCTACACCGAAGATGAAAACTTCAGGAGCAACTCTTCGAGCGGGACCGAGCTGTTTCCTCTTGCGCCTGTGGCTGGTGGTGTATGCATAGCCCAGGTGTGAAGGGTCGAAGTAAGCCTGATTCCAGATGCAACAAAAAACACCCGAATCCGTCTCATCACATCCTTATCCCAAACCCTACGAGCTTTTGCGACAGCGGCCGCGCAATCCCTGCGATGATCGCCGAAACACGCTCGGCAGAAAAGGCAGACAGTCAGCTGGGCTTTCGAGGAAGCCCTCTAGACTGCTGATGCAGCTTAGGCGTCTGTCGTGACTGAAGATGTCGATTTCGAAGCCTTCAAGCGTTCACAAGAGATTCTTCGCTCGGAAGCAATCAGGTGTCAGCTTATTGGCCTTGGTTTACGATGACTACAACCTGTTCGTGAAGCCGCAGATGATTCTTTGCGACAAAGCATGACCTGCTCTTAATTTTTTTCGGGTTTACAGGGGTTTAGGGTTCTTGGATCCACATCCGTGGGCCGGTCCCGTGAAGCCTCCTTGCTGCCTAAAGCTTCACCGAAGGCCCCTAAGATGCCAACTATTCTCGAATCTTCCGTTTCCTTTAACAGCTGTACACTGTAGAAGAAAAGAGGCCGACGAGGTATGCCTTTATGTTTTTTCTCCAGGTTATGATGCAATTTCAACCAGAATGACATCAACCAGAATGACATAAGTGTCACAAGCAGCAACGGCAGCAAACTAAGGTTGGCTCCGGTGGAGGTCACCACGCCTGGCCAGTGGAAGCACCTGCGGGAGCTGGTAACCTGGGTGTACCTTGCCTGAAGCTGCGTGGGTTGGCGTTGGACGATGGGGGTCATGAAAGTGATGGTGCAGTGCTTTTGTATGAACCCCGAACTTGCACGTGAACCCCTCCATGCGCCGTGAGGGTCAGATGCAGCGGGTTTTAGCTTCAAGCCAAGAGCTCAACCAGCCATCGTGTGCCGTCACGACACAGCATGCAATTTGAACCCGGGACTTCGAGCAGGCAAAACACCGCAGAAATGCCGGCGACAAGAAGGGCTTGTCATTGGTCTGTGTTGCTTCGACAATGCTTATCGGTCACTCATTAAGGAAAGCAAAGTCACTGAGGCAAGGTAGCTGCAAGAATCCTGTTCTAACCGCCGTTGGTAAATTACCGTCATTGATGGATACTACTGTTACTAGTGCCAAGCTATCTTTAGTTGGTGTCGTTGTTGTCGTTGTTGTTGTTGTTGTTCTTGTCTTGTTATCTGCCAGGAAGCCCGCGCCGGAACAGCTGCAAGCGGTTCTCGTGCTGTTGGCGATCAGGGGACTCGGCAACTCGGCCGAGGAGGTAGCATCAGAAAAAAAGGAGCAATTTTGGGCTTAGTGGTTTGGTGTTAGGGGTTTAGGTGCTGATGGGTTTAGGGCTTGTGTGTCACGGGGTTTCGTGGTTTAGGCAAGAGCATGAACCACCCAAGCGAGAAGCACTCCGCAATGCTGGCTTTAGGCATTCAGGGTTCGGAGTTTATCAAGGGGCCCGGACCTTACATCCACATTCTGAGGACCCCTTTTAAAGGGACACTTGTTCGACTAAAGAAATATAGGGAATGAAAGTGGAGTATCATCGATTTACGTGAGAGGGGCGGAGTTGCAGGCCTGTTTCAGATTCTGGTTGTAGGTTTATTACATAGGAGTATGCCGGGTTCAATGTTTAGCATTGCAGTTTGTCAAGGGTTTGGGGCGCAGAAATGTGCTGTGTTTGGGGCGTGTGTCGTGGGCTTCCGGCTGCTCAGGAAAGTCCACCGTTCTCATGAACCAGATCAGATCAAGCCATGGGCGGCCGGAGCAGGTAGTGTTGTACTTGATCAAGCGCCTGGGCTTAGGGTGTTGGGCCGAGGGGCTTGCGGCTCAGGGTTTAGGGCTTGGAGCTGTCCTGGCGTGACGTTGCAAGCCAATGTTGCAAGAGGGTTTGGGTTCAGGGTTGCGTACCAGGAGCCCAAATGCATGGCGGAGTCCGCGCACAGTCACGCAAAAGCCGAGGAAGGCGCAGAATGTGGTCCCGTC